CTATATAATAATTTATTCTATCTTTAGTTTTATTGGGACAGTGATCTCAGAAATTGTTGCAATTGTAGCATTATTTTATAATAATGAGCTGAACAAACACCCACTAATACATTGTACACTCATACCAACGTTTCATCATCTAATATTCGACTTGTGTCTATGGCTTAGTGCATTTATAGCTGTTGAACGTGTATTAATAGAAGTTTTCCATTATAGTCTTTATCGTACACGAAAGTATTCAGTTATTTATTTAATTATACTATTCCTATTCCTCAGTACAGACAGTGTAATATCAGGTTTTGGACGTTCTGTTAGTAAAAGTCCTGTACTTTCGACAACATCTTACGTCTGTTCAATGAATCTTTTCCCAAATAAAAATTTAAAAACAGCTTTTAAAGTGATGAGTAGTATCCATGTGGATTCTGTGATACCGTTTTTATTAAGTTTTTTATCGATTATCCTCACATTAACACATATTATTCATCACAAAATCACTTTCACTGATCTAGAAAGAAGTTCATGGAAATCACTAATAATGCAGCAAATTTTCAGGCATAAGGATTTCTTTATACCACCACTTGTTATTATCATTTGTACACTTCCGGAAAAGCTACTGCTAAATATTGCCGGATCATATTGCATAGAAAAAAGTATGCAAAAATTTTATCTTCGTTTACATATTGCTTTCGACTTTCTATTATATATGCCTTTAGTCCTCACATTCTTTATCTATATTTATCCTTCAAAAGTTTATATGAATCTATTTCGTGAAATAGAAATAGTTAAATGGATTAAACTAAAAATTTTGAGTTGTTGCGGTCGTGCATCTTCATGTATCGTAATTGACGAGCAGATTGTCGAAGAAACAAGGCTATAATTGTGTAGTGTTTACCCTCTGATAAAGACAAAAACATCTCTTTGTTTCCACCGTTGAATCAAACTCATTTTTTGAGCTTTCTCTAGAAATGCATCTTACTCTCACTCAAAACAAAGTATTCTTTTCTCATAGATTTTTGTTTTATTCAAAAGTTTAATAAAAATTTTTTCTACTTTAAATCTGTTCAATTTTATCTGAGTGTTTATATTGTCACAATATTCTTTGGTACACATAAGTCTACTATTATATGTACCTATTTCAAATTCTTTTTCTTTGACGGACTTTTCTTTTCCATGAGTTCGTCTTGTTTTCTGATTGTTATTGCTTGTAACCATTAGTCGTTTCGACCACATTGATTCATCACCAACCTTTTCGATTACCCATATATCATCACTTCTTTTATTATTTTTATGTACATTTTTTTCTCCTTTTCTGCGTCTTTTGACAGTGATCAGAGTGCATATACTTCTCCTATGCATGACACGCGCAGCTATCTATATGCTTTTCGTTGTGTTTATGCCTTTCCTCGTTTTTCCATACCTCACCGTTCGCTCGATACAGTCACGCTTCCGGTTTTTGTGAAACTCATCTATTTTACGAAGAAAAATGAAGAGCATAAGTTTTAAGAAGAAGGTTTTCCACTCTTCTACCTTCCATTGTATATAGCAATCACGAACGAGCATAAGCGAGTACATTTCCATAGCGACCTCCGGGAAGGTGCTTGACAGATTATTAAATCCATTTCTTTTAGCAACGGAGAAGGAGGAGACTCCAAAGCTTAACGGATACTTTTTCTCTTGCAACCGGTGATGCTAGATTGTATTCTAGCTTATACGGAATATGTGAGTTCTACATTTTAGGTCCAAACAGGCTGCGCTAATAAGCTTTTTACCATCTACTGTTCTCTTTCCTTTTTCTCTTTGTATTATACTCTTCTCTCACTTTTAAATGTATATTGCCCGTTTTGTCCTCCGTTTTCTTCTTATTACACCATTGTTCTGTATTCATGCTCTTATTTCTTCACTTTGTAATACTATCTTTCTCTTCACTTTTCCTTCGTTTATGATCTCATCATTTCACTTTGTATTCTTCTCTCTCACTTTCTTTCTCGCATTCTTCACCAATCACCCGTCATTGGCATCATCTGATTGCCACATAATCATATTGCCTAATAAGCCAATTACTACAGTACCAATCTCGATGCCAAACAATATACATCTATCTTCAAGTGTATGAATATTATTTATGCAACAGTCTCCCAATCACATCAAGTATAACACATAAACAATAAAATATGTTTAAAAGAAAATTCATAAATACACTGTCGTCAATAATACGAAATCGAAATATAACAATCCATTATCATCTTTATCCTAATTCGATTTATCATCGACCAAATTTGAAAACAACAAATATACTATTATCAAGAGTTTTGCATCATGTCAAGCTTGCCATAAGACATGTATATATTTATAGATCTACAAAATCACTAGTTGGACACAAATATTCAAAATAATAGTCGACATCAATGCTTGCATTTAATTCTAACTTGTCATTTTCTTCGTCTAATCTCACTTCACTGACTAGACTTAGTCATATTCATTCTAATCAGTCTAATTGTGGAAATGCATGTCTGATTAGCATTGTTGAAGATGAAGATTTCCTTACTTCCATTCAACAATATCTTCATTTCAATGTTTGTAGAATCATCTGTTAGCCATATAACTGTCAATGATATTGTACCATCGAGATTAATACTTGCCAGAAAAATTGGACGACAAGCAAGTGAAACGTGTGAACATCTAAAGATTGAATTGATCCAAGCAGTAAAAGAAGAAACGCTTGTAATTAGATCACACATTTGGTAGGATAGATTAAAATAGAAAATTATTATACTTGAATTAACAGCTCGTGTCGTCAATCGTAATTGTAAGCCACACACAGTCGACCTCTCTTGTGGACTGTATATTGAAATCAACAAGTGAGTTCATAGTATTTCGTAGCTACATAACAAAAAACTACTCTAACCTGTGTACACTTTTTTACTTTAACTTTGTCTTTGTCACAATAGACAATGAAAGCTGTTCTCAAACGTTTTCAATTCGACATTACGATTTATGGTATTATTTTTGTATTACATCGAGTCAATAATTTTATCAAAGCCTTAGACGATGATAATTTGCTTTAATTATGTTGCTCACGGCTTTAATAATAAATTAAAACGAACGTTCTATCATGTCGACATTCATGAAAACATCAAGAGAAAAAGAAGAGAAACAAGAAAGAAGGAGAATCGTCAATTAACATGAATTGCATTGAACAGTGATAGTAATCTTCTACTAGATTACTATGATCGTGATTTGGACAAGAGTGATACTGCTGGTGATATTTTTTTAATGCTAAATATATTAAGTTAGCACTTTGAAGTTTGTTTTCATCCACGCTCAAACTGATCATATAAATGCTCTTGAGCACGATCAGCCAAGTCATGCTAACAACATGCCGTATTCAATCACATAATGCAAACAATTGTGTTCTGAAGTTAAACGTGTAAATTTTCGACATCAATTGTCTTGTCACATGATGTTATTTTGGTATTATCTTCTTGGCCAAGGTCAGTTTAAATCAAACTTCACAAGAAAGAGATAAAAGCACTAAAACAAGAAGTTATTGTACGATGGCTTAGTATATCTCAATTACTTGAAAGTATCCTTTGATTATATTCGATACTGATAAGAATTATTAATGAAACAAATATTCTTCATATGTTACCACTGGTCGATGTTATCACTGTTGCTAGTGTTTTCATACTCTTGGAAGCATAGAAAAATGTCATGAAGAGAGTGTAAACATTGGTCAAGCTATTCCTATATTCGGTCGTCACATTGTATTGGTATCTAATCAAAAAAATGACTTGTTATTAAGGAAGAAGCAGTCAATAATGCAGCGAAAGATAAGAGAACAAATTGGCTAAGAGCTAATGAATGATTAATTGGCATTTATATAATTTTCTGTAGCTATTTTCTTTTTCAATACACTTGCTTGAGAATTCCTGAATATAATGTTCATTTGATGTACTTTGTTAGAAAAGAAAATTGAAGTATTCAGAACTAAGAAGCGATGTTCACAAAAGAATTTGGTCTACGTGCATTGGCTGGTAACCGATAAGAATATGTTAAAGATGTCTGTTTTGTCATTGAGTATGTCGATTGTCAATATGATTAAATATTTTTATTCATTTTTAACATCATTCTGTTCGAAGATCTAATCAATTGATATAGTTGAAAATTTTGCATTTGTCAAAATTGATTTTCATGGTGCAAGGGAAGTTAGCAGCCGATTCGAGTTTCTTTCAAAACGGTTCGCATCATTTAGTGAGCCAACTCAGGCAGAAATCCTGTGAGCCAGATGCAGCTCGGAGAGCTCTATCAAATGGTGTAATCGAATTTTCAATGAAAGCTATCCGATTCAAATGAAAACAAAAACACTAATTTTTCCCCATAGGAAAAAAAGCATTAACAAAAGGTTTTCTCTGACGATTCGTTCCACTTTGTGAGCCATTCATAAGATATAGCTCATTCGATGCAGCTTGATGAGCTCTATCGATTGGATGAGGGTGTGGATGTGTGTGCGGATTTTGATCTTCTACTTGCCCAGACCCATACCACACTCACACCCTCTTGACTTATGTTTGATCTCTGTTAGAATGTTAGTATTGACCCATATAATAAAGCATGTCCTTCGCTAGTCAAAATTTTTGTAAAATACTTTTTGACCACTTTTCGCGTCGATATTCTTCGACATTTTCCCTTTTCGATATTTTTACACTGCATGATAAACATTTTGACAAAAGAAGAATGACTTGATGGTTGAACCAATCATCAACTATAATGGAAATGTGTAGCTGAAAGAAAAATGCTATCACCTATTCAACATATACTAACATGACGGTATTAATATTTATTCTTCATTGTTCTCACAGATGGCAGTGAGAAAATGATGACATATATAAATTGACACGAACACATTGTTTGAGTTAGACATGGATAATTCAAATAATAATAATTTGAATATACTCGATTTGCCCAATGAAATGTTAATCAATATTTTCAACAAACTATATATGGTTGATATTCTTTATTCACTTGTGAATATTAATGAACGATTTGATCGATTAGTAATTGATCCTCTTTATATTCATCGTCTTGATATGACTATCGAATTACCCTTTGATGTGATAATTTCAATATACAATAAAGTTTTTCCAAGAATGTATGAAAATATCTTACCTCAAATTCATAATCAAGTAAATAAACTGACTGTTGATTCATATTCCATAAAATCTATTCTTACTGTTAATTATCCTCAACTTTATTCGTTATCACTTGTTAATTTTCAAGAAGAAATACTTTTTCAATATTTAAAAGGTATATTATTTTTTTGGGTACATTTTTTTTACTTTAATCACCTCTTCACATTGATTGATGTGGTAACATGCACTGCATGAGAGTGAGGGTGTGATGATTAAAGAAAAAATGTTCTTTTTTTTTGAAATTAATAACCATTGTTCTTTTTAAATTCAAGGTGATTCAATTCTTCGTAATCTTCTTAGTGAACAAATTACAGATCTTAATATTGACATTCTGTATGATACAATAGCACAAACCATTATAAGTCTTTCAGAAAAGTTTGCCTTAATATTATCATTAAGTAAAAGGTTAATCAGTTTAAATTTTTGTCAATTATTTTATTATCAAACTTTGTCTGTTTGGTTTGTTACCCGACCATCAAAAATTTGCATGTCTTCAACTTTAACTAAACTGAAAATTGAGGTCAAAACTTTTCGTGATTGTCTTTATCTTCTTGATGGTTGTCTCGATTGTTTATCGAGATTGATTATCAATGTACAGCATATTTGCGTAATGTCATCACGTAAATATAACACGGTAAGTTATTTTTATCATTTTTTTTTTGGAAAAAAAAAACATTAATTTAATTATTTTCTTTTTTCTTTATAGGAAAAACTTCCGAGATTGAAACATTTTTCATTAACATCGTTCGATGACGCAATATATTATGACAAACTAATTATTCCACTACTTTGTCGAATGATAAATCTTGAAGAATTGATATTATTTCTATCAATAATCAGATTTGACTCGACTTTTATTGATGGTATTCAATTATATGATCAATTTCTTATTTATATACCACGATTAAATAAATTTACATCCAGTATAATTACAGTTGTTGTCAACAATAATATTAATATTAATTTGTCATCACATAAAGATATTCAACATAGTTTTATTGAAAGATGATATGGACAAGTTGGCTCATGCGTACATACTGAATCGATGAAGACGAAAGGCACATGTCATATTTACTCACTTCCCTTTCAATTTGAATATTTACTTTATCTGAACAACTCTTTCCAAGGTGGTATGCTTAATAAAGTTCGATATTTGAAGATAATTGATACGCATCCGTTTGAAAATAAATTCTTTAAAGTTATCTCTCAAGATTTTTCTTTTCTCAAATTTATATATATATATATGTAATATCAATCACAAAAAGATAAGCAAGAGTTGTCCACATTGGTTACATTTTCGCATCTCACACTTCTCCATCTGCAAGAGGCACATGTAGATTATGCTGAACAATTTCTCTTCAGAAAAAATACTCATCTGCCGTGTTTGTTCAATCTTTACATTGGATATGAATCACTTGCAATGATAAATCATGTCTCAATTCCAGTAAATTAAAAGACCTTCATATAAATGAACCATTTGCTCGTCCAGAAAATTTTCATATATACTTTCCTTTCTTATAAATATAATTTTTGTTAAAAATGTTTTTTGAATAAATGAAACTATAGTTGGAGAAAATTAAATATATTTGGATAATGATGATTAATTAAAACAAATCATATACACAAGAACTTTCTGAATTGTACAATCTTGTATCTTACTTCAAATTCCATAGATTTCATTCGATAGCAGTTTCAACATTCCCTTATTTGTACAATGTTTATCATGCTTCCGCTATTTTTAGTGTGAATCGCTTAGTTTTGTTGTACTCATCTATATTTGAGAAAAACTTTATTACTCATTGGGAATAGAAAAATAAACATAAAACTTAGGCTTAATCTTGCAAAAAAA